ACATCACATTCACTTCTGAATACATCGGTCTTTCTGCTCTCCCAACCATTCAGTCTTCCCTTGTAACAAAGATCCAAAAGAAAAAGAAACTAGGTGATCAAAGGCACTAATTCATCAACTGACAGTACATGCATTACCCAACCTCCACAGTCCTCTACTTCCACAACAAGGAAAGGGGCACATTGTCTGGACACATTCAGTTTTAGTATTCTTTTCATTTACATTATTGCATATGCTATTTAACTGGTTCTGCTAACTTCCCTCTACATTAGTTCCTGTAAGTTTTCCCATCACATCCATGTACCAAAGCTTGTGTCACACATATTATCCATACTTATAAATGGGTTATGCAACAATCTGTTGGGTGGGGAGGTAGGACAGAAACCTTACAAAATCAAGCACACAGTGAGGTGTTGCAACTCAAAAAAAAAATGGATTTCAACGATATCTGGACCATGATTCCAGGTAACCAGTACATAAGACCTACGTGATTCATGTAATCCTGTTTTTTGACCCAAATTATCTTCATCACTTTATCATCTACCCACTTCACCTGCATAGACACAGACAAGAGTCTTCTGGAAACTTTTTAAGCTTCAACATAGAAATATTTATGATAACTAAGTCATAGTTTTGCTGCAAACAACTTAAGAGACAACATGGCACAGCGGAGAGAATGCTGAATCTGAAGTCTTTTGGCTTCAAATCCTATCTCTGGCACTTACTTTTGGGGTGTTATGCCCCTCAATTTATAAGTCCCTAGGCCTGTTTCCTCAACCATAATCTGAAGGAGTTATAATTGATGAATTCAAAGATGTCTTCCAACTCTAAATCTATCATCCTATGAACTTAAGCCAAATATATATGTGTGTATAATATATGCATATATAAATTACATATTATTCTCTGGTCATTTCATCTGACAAGGCAATGAATTTATGAGAAAACTGAGTTTTGCCGGTATTGGGTCTGAGAAGTTGCACAGACTGTACAGCCAAAGTACAACATCCTTATGGCTGGCAAGTTTCTATGATTAAACCATTAACGTATTTATTCCTACCCCCCCCATCCCCCACAATAGCTGGATTTTGGTCATGAATAAGCACTAAGCCCTGGGGTGATTAGCTATAATAATGATTCAGTGACAGTAGGTCTACTGCTTGAAAATGTGCATTTGACAGATCATTGACACACAGTCAGAGTCCTTTTCACTTAAATGGGAATTGTGCAATAGGGCAATGAATTGAGACCGTTAGAGATTATCTGGGTTTAACAGCACGTCCTTTTAGCTGGCAGTTATAACAATATACCAAGCAGCAGAATTAAACAGAGGCATCAATTATACCCCCCAACCTGTTAGTATTTTTGACAATATTTAAATAGCACATCCCTTTAGGGCATGGCTTTTATGCCCTCTTCCTTACACACCTGTCAAGTATTTAATTTGCCAAAGGAAACAGTTTGATTTCCAAGGGCAATCTTAATATTGAAGTAGCAAATTGGGAAAATTGAACCTTATTGAATAGAAGTAATGAGAAGAATCTGAGAAAAAAAATAATAGGCTTAATTCAATGTGGCATGCACGCATCTGTCATTGACAAAACAATGCGATCAAGTTCCCCCATATGCTGCATATACCTCAGGCTTATAAATTATTCACTTTCTTCTCTTCTCAGGGACATAGAGGCATGCTAAAGAAGGCTGATCTAGGGGCTCAAATTTCTAGCTCTGAGGACTGTACAAAGACTGTGCCTAGAAAAATTCACCTGTTGTGGTAAACGAAGATAAAATAAATGCCTGATCACTGCTGTCAGAGCTTAGTATGGAACTTCCTCATTTTAATATTAATAAAATACATGTTTTAAATGGTAGCAGCTAGGTGACACAGGACAGAATGCTGGATCTGGAACCAGGAAGCCCTCAGTTCAAATCTGGCCTCAAACTCTAGCTATGTGGCTCTGGACAAGTCGTTTAACCACTACCTGCTTCAGTTTTCTCAACTATAAAATGGGAATGATTATAGCACCTACCTCCCAGGATTATTGTGAAGATAAAATGAGATATTCTTGAAGTGCTCTGCAAACCTTAAAGCAAAATATAAGTGCTAACTATTGATATGATTTCTAAATTACCATAAGAGGATAAAATTTTGGGTCAAAATATACCTGAGACATCATTTAATCCAACTGTTCATTTTCCAAATAAAGAAACTGTTACCTAATCTTTTGTTTTTTTTTCTGATGAGGCAATTGGGTTAAGTGACTTGCCCAGGGTCACACAGCTAGTAAGTGTCCAGTATCTGGTCTGAGGCCACATTTGAACTCAGGTCCTCCTGACTCCAGGGTCAGTGCTGTATCCACTGAGCCACCTAGCTGCCCCTTTTTTCTGCCTAATCTTTTTGTTTGTTTGTTTGTTTTTAAGAAACTGTGCTACAAAGAGGTGATGTGACTTGACCAAAATCAGAGAGGTAAATAAGTAGCAGAGCACGGATTAAAATTCTCTGAAGCCTTAATCCAATGTCCTTTCCATAATACCATAAACAGGTAGAAGAAAAAACAAGACCTTCTCTTTTTTTTTTTTTGGTAAACTTTGGCAAAGAAAAAAAAATACTAGCATAATGAGACCCAGGATATTCATAAAGAAATGAATTAGAACAAATAAAAAGAATGACACAAATGAGTCAGTTAAGGAAGTACTTAATGTTTCTAGATATTGATAGTCAATGACTATGGTAAAATATAACTGAAAGTGCCAACCCTTCCAGAGGGGCAAAGGAGAAATTTCCCCTGCTTCTTTTATATCTCTCTGTAAGTGCTATATATCAGACAAGTATTTAAGGTACACTTGTTAAATATAAAGAAAAAAGAAATATGGATGTTAATTCTTCTCCCTCTACGTGAAAGAGGTAGTAGACAAGATTACTTTCAAAAGTATACCTAAGACACTATCATAGAATGTACCTTCACAATTTATCTCTACTCTCTGTAGATAGTGGCTGGGATATCTTCAGATAAGTTACAGCCGAATCTTACAGAAGTGGAGAGGACCAAAAATTACTGCTTCAGTCTAGAGTAGAGGTTCTTAACCTTTTTTGTGGAATCAAACCTTTCGGAATTCTGGTGAAGCCCATGGACCCATTCTCAGAATAATGTTTTCAAATGCTCAAAATAAAATACAAAGAAAATAATTATAATGAAATAAAGATGTAATTTTATTTCAGTATCAAAGTCCCCCTAAAATATCATTGGTGGACCCTGGGCTAAGAAACCATGTTTTACAGTATTTTTTTTTTTACCATTTCATACACAGCATGTTTTATAAACAAAACAATACATCAGCCATTGGCTTCCTATCTTTGCTTTTCAATGAATTCTCCCCCCCAAAATTGAATTGGCTAAAAATTAAGTCAAATCAGCAAGCATTTATATAGCATCTACTACGTGCTGTGCTAAGCAATGCAGGAGGAATTTCAGGAGTAATGGGATAAAAAATATGAGAGAACTTCAGAAAAGACAAAGACCAGGCCTCTTTTATTTACTGGTTATATTTACTACTACTTTTTTCCCATTTTGGATGTTTCTCTAATTAAAATAAAAAATGTTTTTATACATTATTTCTCTTCAATTCTTCTATGGTCATCTAACAAAAAGAAATAAAACTAAAAAAATAAAAACTCAACATAAGCAAGATATTTATATCTTGGACCTTGATATTTCATAAAGCTTGTCAAGTCATTGTACATTGTACAAAATCACTTTAATTATTTTTCAAGGGTACTAACACATAAGTTCATCATAGTCTACCTAAATATAACCAAAACATCAAGGGTCTTTCACAAATCCAAGATTTATTGAGAAGAAATTATTCTACCAGCCTTCCTCAGTCTATTTCTCCTAACTTCTAGATTCACAGACAGATTACATGCTTCACTTAGGACTTCCCCTCTCACCTCTGATCAGACTTAAATCATGAACCTTTCATAAAGTATTTGACTGAAGCTGCTTCACCTTAAGTCACTGAATCTTCAAGCTACTTTGTGACTTCAAAGCTACTTTGTGCCATCTCACTCATAAAAGTGGCAAACTAAGGTTTCTCAATAATTCTCAACATTATCATAAAAAGCACTGTAACAATACCAAAACTGATTGTAATTATTATTAAATTGACTTGAAAGTTTATATAGGAAAAATATAATAACTTGTATTCAAAATAATGACCTGGATAGGTCAAAATATCTGGGAAATTTAATAATAGAAATTGAAATATGGCTAATTTAATTATTTGAGTTCAGAGCATGCACACCCTCAGGTTCCATATGGTCAATGTGATATATTCCATTCTAATTTAAATGCTTGAAAGTTTCTTTTCTATAAAAATTCCAAATAAAAATTGTTAACATAAAAAAATAGAATGCTGTGTTACATTTGGAAGTTCGAGTGTTTATCACCATCTGACGCTGTCATGGGGAAGCAATTGCTCCTTACACTCCTTTAAGAAGTGAGAATTTGCAACGCCACCAACTGATGACAATGTAATTATCCCTCATACTGTCAAAATAGAGGTGCTTTCCCTTCCTTACATACATGATTACACATGCAAATCCAAGCTTATCAGAAATAGCATAAGGAAGGGGATCAAGCGTTTGAATGGGAATGAGAAACATCACATGAACAATAAGCCCTAGTGATGGAGACCACATGTACATACAGCTCTCTATCTTAAACATATTTGTATCATCTCCTTCTTCTGTAGGAATTCATTCTTTGGCATCCAGACAGCTTTCAACAGAATGTCATATCATCCACAATATACAGCAATAACCATGGCAAAAAATAACTAGAGGAAGAAAAAAGCCACAGTGAATCTGAATGTCTCATTTTGGGCTTAAGTGATTTAATTAACTATTCATTAACATATACAGAAATCAGCCTTTCAGAAAAATAAAAGGGATAGCAGCCAAGCAATTTCTGGAATGCCTGCTAAAATGGGTGATGACCTACCTGGTCTTTCAGCTGCTGAACTGATGTCTGAAGGTTCAGAATCTGACTGAAGAGAGGGCTCTGCAGGACTGACTTTAGGAGACTCAACTTGTCCTCATTGGCTATATCACCGCGTTCCCGCAGTTTAGCCTGCAATCGCTCTGCTGCTTGTAGGGCCCGGCTGGTGTCTACAACAAAGTATAGTAATAGTCAGTAGTAGGTTAAAAAAAAAAAGGATTCAAATCATAATAAAATTTTGTTGACTGACTGATACTAAGATAACCATCTTTTCCAATGAAACAATGAAACTATATCCAGTCTCACCAAAATAATAATAACACTTCAGATTTACATAGGGCCTTTATAAACTGTTACACATATATTATATTTCATTCGAAGTGGTGAAAAAAAGTATCCTCCATTATACAGATGAGGAAACTAAGGTACAGAAGAGTTAATCGATTTACCAGAAGTCACATGGATTGTTAATGACAAAGCTGGAAGGTGAGCTCTCACAGTCTGACTCCAAATCCAGTGTTTTTTTTTTTTTTTGCCACCATACCATGATGCCTCTCACAAAAAAAAATCATAGGAGAACCATAAAAGGTTAACTTGCTACTAAAAAATACACTCACTCAAGCCTGCCATGACTAATGCAAAAAAAAAAAGTAAAAGAGAGAAGAAAAAAGAAAAGAAAGAAAAGAAAATGAAAAATTGCTTGACAGAACACTTTGTGAATAAAAAATTAAAAAAAAAAAAACAGGTGCAGCTACGTGGCACAGTGGACAGAGCACCGGCCCTGAAGTCAGGAGGACCTGAGTTCAAATCCGGCCTCAGACCAAACACTTGACATTTACTAGCTGTGTGACCCTAGGCAAGTCACTTAACCCCAACTGCCTAAAAATAAAATAAAATAAAATAAAATAAATAAGCCAGAACACTTTGTGGTAGGAAAAAAAATGGAAACATAGTAGATGCCTATTAACTGGGGAATAAATAAATTGTGGTACGCAAATGTAATGGACTATTACTGGGTAGTAATAAATGACAAACATGATGAATACAGAGAAACATGGAAGGAATTAATTAAACTAATACAAAATTAAGTAAGTAGAGCCTTACTCCTTTGAAGAGATGTGTGGGAGGAATAGGGTGGAGAAAGAGGGAGAGGTCCACAGGTATGTAATATTGCATATGATATCACTTTTTTGATGTCTTGATCAGTTTTGCAGGATTTTTCCTCTTCCTCTTTTTTCTTTTTTTCTTTTTTTTCTTTTTTTAATAAAGAAAGAGGACTTGGGAGAGGGATACAAGAGTAAATCCGAGTGATAAAAAACAAATTACATCAACAAAAATTTGTTTTTAAAAAGATGCTTGAAAGCAAGGGTACATTTAGGCTATTCAATGTAATATTTAATTCCATTTTCCTTTCTCTCCTTTTAAAATTAAGAAAAAAACTATTTTACTTACAGTATATGTGAATTTAAATATAAGCTATTTCTACTTTCATACACAAATACCTGATCAGAGTGAATTTTATTATTCTAACATTTTCTTATTTCTAGACTATAAAAAGAAAAAAAGAGAAACTCGTTATTAAATGGATTCAAATATACTGTAGGTCATGTCGCCAGCACTAAAACTGAGCTAACCTATAAAGTACCCATCGGTTCTATCCTCTCATTACAAGGATCAGAGACCTAGAGAGCATGAATGGAGCTCAAACACTATAGTCCAATCTCCTCAATTTTACAGACAAGAAAAGAGGCTCACATAGGATAAGTCACTCTCCCAAGGTCACAGAGGTAGTATTAGGGATGGGACTGAACCTAGGTCCTCTGACTCCATAGCTAGTTTCCTATAAGTAATAGATCAGACTAACCATATCAAACAAAGAGATTATTCTGAACTGCTTCAGGAGTCTTCAAGAAGTGAAAGGAGTGAGACTATGTCTGCCACTAAAGAAACAAACAAAAATCTTGGCAACTGATCCCGTCACTTCCTGGCAAATAGAGGGAGAAGAAATGGAAGCAGTGTCAGATTTTATATTCTTGTGTTCAAAGATCACTGCAAACAGAGACTACAACCCTGAAATTAAAAAAAAACGTTTGCTCCTCAGAAGGAAAGCTATGGCAAATCTGCACAGCATACTAAAAAGAAAAGACATCACCATGCTGACAAAGGTCCATATAATCAAAACTATGATTGTGAGAGTTGGACTGTAAGGAAAGCTGAGAGCAGCAGAATGACACTTTTGAATTATGGTGCTGGAGAAGACTTTTGAGAGTCCCTTGGACAGCAAGGCAATCAAATCAGTTAATATTAAAAGAAATTAATTCAGATTATTCACTGGAAGGTCAAATACTGAAGCTAAAGCTTAAATACCTTGGCCATATAATGAGAAGACAGGACTCACAGGAAAAGAACCTGATGTTGGGAAAGACTGAAGGCAAAAGGAAAAGGGGACAGCAGAGGATGACATGGATAGAAAGTGTCATGGAAGCAATGAAGATGAGTTTGGACAGACCTCAGGAGACAGTGAAGAATGGAAGGTCTCTGCCCAATATGCTATAGTCCATGGTGTCACAAACAGTCCAAAATAACTGAATAACAACAAAAGCATGCTGCTTTTAAGGGAAAACATTTTGTATGGGTTTCATTGTCCTATCAGTCTAAGATTTTGCATAAGTAAGGCAGCAAGTAATTTTCTACCAAAAACAATGGAAAGAAGCATTATAAACATTAAATATAAAAAATATATAACAACAGGGAGGGGATAGATGGTCAAAGGGATGAGTTGGTCTCAAAAGAATTACTAAATATTAATAACCACATAAAAATTCTCCAAATCACCCATAATAAGAGAAATGCAAATCAAAACAACTCTGTTTCCTCTCACAGCAAATTGGCAAAGATGACAAAAGATGGGAATAATAAATATAGGAAGATAGGCATACAAAAGTAGTGGTGGTAGAGTTGTGAATCCATACAATCATTTTGGAAATGAATTTGTAGTGATGCAAATACAGTCACTAAAATGTTTCATACCCTTTGACCCAGAGATTCCACTACTGTACATATACTTCAAGGAGGTCACTGTTAAAAAGAGTCTTCCTACATATACCAGGGAATTCCAGTTCTAGCAAAGAGATATTTAATCACAGAACAATATTTTCAAGCTAAAAAAATAGAGCTATAGATACTATAGATAGGCATCACACAACTCTAGACAATTTTAATAATTCAAACTGAAAATATAAATTCAAAGGATACTGAGATTTAAAGCTGAGAGAGACCTTTTCAATACCCATTTTAAGTTGCCTTAAATCTTCATTAAATTTTATCTATATTAGCCTACATTATCCAAATTCTGTTGTTCTTCCATTCCCCAGAGAGTTTATATGAGTATTAGAATTCTAATGCAGGTCAATATGACATGGAAAAAGCAAAATTAAGATTTGAGTCCTCATCTTCATTCAATGTTACACTTTAAATAATATTGCCCTACACTTTAAAAAAAAAGAAACTAAAACTGGGTCTATTCTGAATTTACTCAAGTCCACTGTTGCTAGAATAATTAAAGTTTTTAAAAGTTTTAATTATTGTTTTAGAATAAATTATTCAGGTAAAGAAAAAATCACATGTTTATTGGATAAAGCATATTACTGAAGAAAGAAGCTTGTTTGGGTCAGTATTTTAAAGGCTGTAATTTCTAATTTCATTTACAAAAGTGAACAAGAAAGAATCAGTCTTACCTATAGTTTCCAACATTTTTTTTAGAAGTTCAGTTTCTCTTTCAAATGACTAATGGTGTTTGTTACTATAATCCTGTGAATGGAAAAAAAAAAGAAAATGAAATGCTCATTTGACAGAACTTTTAAATTTTACTCTAAAACTAAGCACTCTGAAACAGATTTTGATACACTTACATTCATTTCACATTTAAAATGCAGCTGATAACTCTAAGGTAACCCTTTCATGGGACAAGAAAAAAGGGGTGTGTTAATTTGGGGACTTATTAAAGTAATCTAATATTGCATAATTACATTATTTGCATAATGAAGTAAAGGTTTGTAGTCTATTTTAATCAAGGTCCCATAAGTTTAGTTTCCAAAATACTTCTCTCAGAAATTTCTATCCAGATCTGTATTCACATATCTGGTACCAAGTTAAAAGACTAAACATTTATTTGCTGTGGAAAGTGGGGGGACAGAGAAACTATATACCCTGGACAATCACAAAAGCCTTCCAATTGGTCTCCTTGCCTCAAATCTCTCCTCTTCCAACCAATCCCCAACACAGTCACCAAAGTGACTTTTCTGTAAGTGTAGGTTTAACTATGTCACCTCTTCTTTTTCCTCCAATCCCCCCCACCAGTTAATAAACTCCTATGGCTCCCTAAAAATATCTCCAATATAAAATATAAAATCCTCTAGAAGCTATGCTTCCAATATTTCGTGTTTTCTCACACTATATTCCTGTTCATAAGCTCCATGGTCCGTCTTACTAGCTGTTTTTTGCACACTGTAATTCATCTCCCAGTCCATGACTTTGCAATATAGGTCACCTATGCCTAGGAAGCTTAACTTTTTACCTCCATCTCTTGATATCCCTAGCTTCTTTGAAGACTCAGTTTAAGTGCCACTTCCTTCCATTACTATTTTCTTTATTATTTTTTTATTATTTCATAATAAACTTTAAATGGATTAAAGATCATAGCATAAAAAATTAGAAGCAGATCATATACCTTGCACAGCTATGAGTAGGAGATGTAGTCTTAATGAAATAATGAATGGAAGTAATTACAAAACATCATTTAAATAATTTTGATTACATGAAATTGAAAAGCTTCTGCACAGACAAAATTAATGCCTCTAAGAAGTAAAGTGGTCAAATAGGAAAAGAAAATCTTTGTATCAAATTTCTCATGTAACAGTTTAGTATCTAAGATACATAGGTAACTAATATATATACACATACATATACACGCATATTTAATATATTATATGATGATATATATATATAATAATAATACTATGTAATATACACACATATATGTATGTCAATATGTGCGTATACCAAATGTCATTCCCCAGTACATAGATGGTTAAAGGCTATGTCATTCTCAAAGGAATTACTAAATATTAATAACCACATAAAAATGCTCCAAATCACTAATAACAAGAGAAATGCAAATCAAAACAACCCTGTTTCTTCTCACAGCAAATTGGCAAAGATAACAAAAATGGGAATAAATATAGGAAGATAGGCATACAAAAGTAGTGGTGGTAGAGTTGTAAATCCATACAGTCATTTTGGAAATGAAGTTATAGTTATGCAAATAGAGTAACTAAAATGTTCCATACTCTTTGACCCAGAGATTCCACTACTATACACATACTTCAAGGTCACTGTTAAAAAGAAAGTCTTCCTACATATACCAAAATATCTATAGTACAATTTTTGTAGTGCCAAATGACTGAAAACATAGTAGATGCGCATCAATTAGAGAACTGCTAAACAAACTAGTATAAATGTGATGGGATATTACTGCGCTATAAGAAATGAAGATTATGATAAATATAGAAAAGCATGATAAGACTTAACTGGAACAGACTACAAAGTGAAATTACCAGAGCCAAGAAAAGCATATACACAATGACGACAACAATGTTCCACTGGTATATTACTATTACATATATTTTCACATTTTTGATGTACTGATCAGTTTTGCTGATTGCTTTTTCTCTTTTTACTTAAAAAATATTATTTGCTATATGAAATGGAGGGAGAAGCATACATGAGGAAATGTAGGCAACGTAAAAACAAAAGATAATAAGAACTACATATACAAGGTGGGGGAGAAAGGGAGATAGAAAGTACACATAAATGTAAAGAAAATAAATGCATATATACATACACAAGAGGGGAAAAGGGGAAAAAAAGATAACTTTTCCAGAGGCTAATCTTCACATGGCATGATCTCAAGGTCCTTAGGTTCAAGAATGGCACATTAAAAAAAAAAAAAAGAAACAATGCTATAAGAAATGATGAACAGGCTGACTTCAGAAAAACCTGGAAAGACTTGTATGGTCTGATGCTGAGTGAAGTGAGCAGAACCAAGAGAATGTTGTACACAATAACAGCCACATTGTGTGATGACTAATATTGATAAACTTAACCATTCCCAGCAATACAAGGATCTAAGACATCTCCAGAGGCCTTGTGATGGAAAATGCTATCCACACCCAAAGAAAGAACTATGGAAGCCGAACTGTTATTTTTTTTCTCTTCTGTTGAGTTTTGTTTCTTCTTTCTAATGGTTCCTCCTATTGGTTTTAATTTCTACTTACAACATCATTAATGTGAAAATATGTTTAATATGAATGTAAATGTATAGCCTATATCAGATTGTGCGCCGCCTTGGGGAGGGTGGTGGGGAGGAAGAGGGGAAAAATTTTAAACTCAGAAGCATATGGAAGAGATTATTGATAAATCAAAATAAATTTAAAAAAAGGAACCAAACTTGATCTGGGTTCAAACCCCAGTTCTGATGCATACTACCTGTGTGACTGTGGGTAAATCACTTTAATCTCTCTGTGCTTCGGTTTCCTCATCTGTAAAATGAAGAGGTTGAATTAAATAGACTTTGAATCCAGCTCTAGATCCATGATCCGAGAATTTCTTCATCATCCAGATTGTCCTCTTCTAGACACTCTCTAGCTTACTAATGTCCCTACAAAAATGTGGCTTCCAGAAATGAGCAAAATACTCCAAACATAGTTTCAGAAGACTAGAATACAGTGCGACTATCATCTCCTAAGTCCTAAAGAGTCTCTATTAACACAGCTTAAAATCACATTAGCTTGTTTTAGTTGCAAAATTCCACTGTTATCCCATACAGAGTGTGCAGTACGCTGAAATATTTGTCTTTTTAGATGAATTGCTATCTAGCAATACCCCCCCATCTTGTATATGTGAAATTGACTTTGAATGTGCCTGCAAGACTCCCTCTACATTTATCCCAGTTAAATTTAATTTCCAATTCAGTGCAACATTCTTGCCTGTCAAGATCTGTATGAATTTGATATCTTTGGACATTGTCTCTTTCAGTTTTGTGTCATCTGCAAATCTGATAAGCGTTCCATCTAAGCCATTATGCAAGTCATTGAAAGAGACTTGATTTCTTACTATTCTTCTCCCAACTTCCATTCAGTATGACATTTTGGTATTCATCTAACATTACCTGTCCTTGCTTCCATCATAACGGGTATATCTTTTAAAAATCTAAGTCAGTTGGTAAAATTCTCATTTATACCTGGTCTGTTAAGACAACTCCTCTTTTGCTTTCTCTTTAGAATTGTTTCTCTCTGTACCTTTAGAACATAGTTCACTATCCTGTTTGGGCTGACTTCTCCTATAGAATTTCAGGCCATGGGATCCTATCTATCCTTTTGCTAAATACTTTGAAATTTGTTTTCCCCAAAAAAATACCTAAGGTGAACATCATTATGTTTATGCTTATGCTTTCCTCTCCTTCTCTATAGTAAATTCCAAAATGGGAGTTGCTTCTCTCTGGATGAATAGTGAGAATTAGATGCAAAATAGTAGCTCTTTTGTTGGTTCCCCTATGTTATGAAGGATAAAAATATCTTTAAGGTAAACCAAGGAATGATTAGCTTCTCTGCTTTTAGCAGTTTTAGATGTTTAGATAACTGAAGGTTCCTTTCTTTACTATATCCTGAGATCTCTTTTCTGCACAGTACATTGGCTACTGGAGTAAAGGATGAGTAACAAGGATAGAAGCTCTTAAGTTAACCTCCTGAACGAAGTGATGAGTTAGGTACTCATTGAGAGTTTCAAGACACGGAACATATGGCCAACATTTGTGAAAGGGTGAATGAAAAAAAAGAATTTATTAAGTACTTACTATATACAAGTGTGAAAAGGATATTCAGTTTCTTCTTTCAAGGCCTCCAATTCTAATGCAGGAGACCATACATAAACACCCTAAACTTATGGTCAAAGCTTCCTGTCTCCATCCTACCTCCTCTCTATATATCTATCTTTAAGTAATTTCCTAACTCACTGCCAAGATCATGTCACTCTTTTGAAGAACAGTAGATGGAAGATTTTAGATTTAAAGCTGCAAGCGACCTAAGAGATTGAGTCTAAATCCCTCATTTTACAAATGAGAAAAATCAGGCTCAGAGATATTAAGTTATTTGCCGAAGGTCATATATCTAATAAGCATCTGAGGCAGGATTTGAATTTGGGTCTTCCTGACACCAAATTCAGCATGCTATCTACCACACCAGACTGCCAAAGGTTTGCCATTGTCTTCCCAATTAAGTTTAAAGTCCTGCCCTTATCATTTAAGGTCTTCCACAATCTGTTTCCAACCTGCCTGTTCAGTCTTATCTCTAACTACTCCCCTTTTCATATTATATGTTCCAGCTGATCTCTAATTTGTCCTAGCCTCTGTTGTCTTCATACTTGGAAGGAAAGGAAGACAACAAGTATGTATTGAGTGCTTACTATGTGCCAGTTAAAATATTGTCTCATTTGATCCTCATAAGAGATAGGGGCTATTATTATTCCCATTTTATAGTTGAGCATACTGAGTGTCTGAAGCCAGATTAAAACTCAAATAGTCCTAACTCCAGGTTCAGCACTCTATCCACTGCACCACCTACGTGTCTCTAGTCATGCAAAGGCATGGGTTCATCCTAAGCGTGATGGTTAAAGTAGACTCCCTCCTCCCATCTCTCTATTGATGTCCCTTCATCCCTTTAACTCCCAACACAGACGGATGTCATCTCCTCTAA